TAATTATAAAAATAATAAATTAGTTTCTAATCTTTATACTTTATTAGAATATGCTTTCAGCTTCTAGTTTTGTTTGTTCTGCGATAGTTTTATCTATAAACTCCAGTCAAAGTACATCCGTGCTAAGCCTACAATGAAGGTGTGTCATCATCTTGCATACATCCCAAAGGTGAGTCTTCTTTGTTTTCATTATTATGATGGCATACTAACACAATCAATTGGAGCTTCCCGACAAATGGCAGAACACCTACACTGGAATTTACAAGAAGCCACCCGCAAAGGATGTCCATACACACATGAAATGCAAACTCATTCATGCTGTATGGGCACTGCTGCTTTGTGATGAGGATTTCCAACGTGCATATAAAGACAGTATTCTCAGAAAATGCAGTGATGATATTGTTTGCCAAGCACTTATCTGAATATGCACATACACTGGTGATTACCCTGAGAAGTGAGTCATTTGCAGTACGATGATTATCTAACTAATTGGACTAATTGTATAGGACTATACTATGCTTTATTAAAAATCTGGGAAGAGCACCATGTCCAAATTGCTTTATCCTCATGGGTCAGCTTGCGAAGATGGGAATGAAACTTGATATGAGGATGATGTCAGAAAAATCTCAGGGGCAAAAAAACGGATTCTAGCGCATTCTAATGCCCATGTACACCATTATAATATATGAAAATGAGTTTTTCGTGAGAATGGGTTGCCAATGGCAATCGAATGGCAATTGAACGGCATTATTTTAAGCTCTGAACTGGTGGTTTGGGATCTCTTATTGGTGTGTGCAGCAAAATGTTGCCATTTGAATCGGTTATTTTGGCCTGACAACAATATTACAGCATTTCCTTGGCATTCCAATGCAATAGAATGTATAGCACTCAAGGGAGCAATCAAATCCCCTTTTGGAAATCTCTGACAGAGGGTATCAAGAACTCGGATTGACAGTATTCATCGCCAGGATCTTGTTGAAAAGGCTCACACACAGATCTTTAAAAGGGGTTGTTCAGTCAACTCAAAAGCGGTGACATCACTTCTGGGTGATCAGTTGTATGTGCCCACCAGAGCAAGTTTTCTCCAAATATCTGTCTCATAAATTTGTCATTAACCACTGCTTTTTAGAACACATTTTCAGAGCTTTTGCTCCCGCATGGGATCAACTATTTTTGACTATTCCCCATTGACTTGCTGCACAAGTTTGAGCTTGGCGTGTGGAAGGCTGTGTTTATCCACCTTGTCTGAATGGTCATGTCTCTTGGAGGCACTGCAGTGCAGGATGTGAATGACCGGTATGTATTTAGTATATTCCTAATTTACCACACTAAAAGCAGTCTAGGTATTGTAAAATCCCCACGTTTGGAAAGCAAACAATCCGTAGATTCCAGAGGAATGTTTGTGCAATGAAGAAGCTAGCAGCTTGAGATTTTGAAGATCTCCTCCAGGTGTGCAGATGTCCTTACTACTGTACAATAACTGACATGTTTCTAGTGCTCTATTCCTGTTTTTTAGGGTATCTTCTCCAAGAAACCACGTCAAGACAAGAAGATCTTGCTGGATTCTCTATTTGAGTTGTGCAGTTGGCATGCTCATGCCAAATTACGCCTCCATACTGACAATACTCTTGAGATCTTTGAGGCATCTACCTCATCTCTGGGTGCAATTCTGTGCAAGTTCAAACAAGAGGTTTGTTCTTCATATGATACTAAGGAAATTCCACCAGAAACAGCAGCCTGATGACAACAAGCAGCTGCAAGGGTTGCACAGTCATCCTCAAGTGCAGCTATCATTGAAAAGAGCAACTGCCACAAGGAGTTAAACTTGGAGATTTACAAGTTTCACATTCTCGGGGACTACATCAAAAACATTTGCTGCTATGGAACTACTGATAATTATACATCACAGCATGTAAGTAGTTTTCACTTGTGTGTATTGCCGACCCCTGCACTAACATCTGCCTAAACTGCAGAGTGAGCTTGCACACTGCACACCAAAGCAACGTTATAAGAAAACACCCAAGAAGCACAATCTCATAATCAAGTCCCTAACACACCTTGAGTCTTGTTCTCATATCTTTGATAAGCTCATTGACTACCTCGAGAGGGCATCATTTCCGGACTCAGAGAGCAGCAAGTCAAATGAGGCCAATGCAGATTTGTCCACCCCATCAAATCTAACAGACCCTCAAAGCCACTACTGGATATCTAGCAAGTCCTGAAATTACATCTCTGTCCCCAATATGATCACTGTTATGAATGAGTCCCTTGGCATAGACAAATCAGTGAGTTTTGTATCTAGTACCTTTGACAACATTTTATCTCAATGCTACTGCAGGAATTCACTCGGTGCTTGAAAACCCATATCTTAGATCGCCTCCGAGAGCAAGGAGACACTCCCAAGTCCCTTGACTTACCTTCAAAAGATGTCAAGGACTTCGAGTATCATGAAGAACAGCTTGATGCACTCATCACTAGCAAGAACAGGCTTCATGAACACAAGACACTTTGTATAAACTACACTACATATGATGTTCAGCGGGAGCAGGACACTATCAACGCATGCTCATGAGCTGATCTCATGGTCTTGGCTCAGGACTTGCAACCAGACTCCAATTCCCATCCCTACTGGTATGCTCGTTTGCTCTACATCTTCCATGTTGATGTGTGGTATGCCTCTGAGCAACGCTCAAGCGAGCAACAAGTAGATGTGCTGCTGGTGTGATGGCTTGAGTTTGACTCAAGTTATCCCTGTGGCTTTGAGGTGCATCACCTTCCTTGTCTCGCATTTTATCCACTCGGCACCTCTGCTTGCTGGGATTTTATAGATCCCAACACTGTTATTTGTGGTGCACACCTTCTGCCCAGTTCCAATCATGGCCAAATCTCAGGCCCCTCTATCCTGAGCAATATCTCTCGCATGCACTTTGGTGCAAAGGATAGTGCAAATGACTTGGAATACTTATATTATTACATGAACATGTGAGTCATCCTATGTATATTCTATTTATATCTAACAGAATTTCAGATTTGTTGATCAAGATATGTTTATGAGGTTTTGAGGAGGCGGAGTTGGGCATGTGGTAACCTGGCACTTGGACCCGGTCTTGCTTGCTGATGGCAGGCAAGAGAGCATTATCCTGTCAGACAAGGACAATGAGGGTGACAATGAGGATGCAGATTTGGGAGATTTAGAAGCTGAGGATAAATGGCTGGTCTGTGTTTGATGAGGAGAGAAGTGAAGATGAGGCAGGATCAGAATATGAGGACGAGCATGAAAAAAATGAGGATTTTCTGGGTGACGATGATGTACTTACTGAGCAAGCCGGGTATGCTGCATTATAGATGTACATTACTTAGACCGATCTCTTTGAACATGCTCATAGTAAACACACTTAGAGCTAGCATTTTTAGAGCATTTCATTGGCAGCAGATGTTATTTATTATGCAGATATAAAGATTTACAAACGTGCGGAGGATCATGTCTATGGCTATGGTGGTTTTGGTATGTACATGGGTTTTCTGTCAATTTACGGGGTGGATATGCATGTGCAAAGCGCCACCAGGCCCCTGCTTCAGGGTTTGCTTCACATTTTGCTTGTGGCCGGGCTCATGGATAATACACCTTGCATAGAGCACATGTCACCCAGAGCCCAACTGGGGGCAGTGAAGCTACATGAGTGTTTGGGGCCTGAAGGCATATGCATGTGTTTACGGAACGGGGCACCTGCACCCACATCTGGACACCTATCATTCCCACACTTTGATGGTATCTAAGGCGTCCACACAACCACTCTTCGGACACTTGATATAGTCCATTCAGCCTGTTTTGTGAGGACCACTGGTCTGGACCAGTAAACTGGGTGAGTTCTGAGCTTGACTTAGAGCATGAACACCCTCCGCCACGTGATGCTGACTGTAAACAGCCAGTTTTGCAATGATTGTTAGCGAGGTATGTCTCTTTTCTTTTGTCTGCATCTCTAGTCCTTATACTTTATATCTAGCTTGAAGCCCTCTCCGCCTGTCATCAAGTTGAAGGCATGGTCGTCCTCGTTCACAGATCCCTCAACATCCCTATGGAACCCAAGTTCTTCGCTACCAACAAGCCCGTCAACCAGCATCTACAAATCCACTATCACGCTGAGCTCAACAAGTTCACGGGCACGATGGAGAGTGCGATGATTGGCAACAACCATCCCTGTATGTCCTTTTCCCTCTATCCTGATTACTAGCCACTAACATCCATCTAGGGAACAGCAGCAACAACAACTACAAGCAAAAACAAAAGTTTGCAAAGACAAGGTTTTGCTCCAGGCTCAGTCAGGCACTCAGTATGTTGATCCCAATCCCATTTTTCATTATTTATTCTAACAGACTTACAGTTGATGCAACAGCCAAGATGTCTGCTGTTATGGAGTATGCCCAATATGAGAGCCTTGTTATTGGGCAGTTCAATGTGAAACTGGTTGGGTGGGAGCACAACAAGTGGGGTAACCCCGGCGGCCTCAAAGGTGGCCTGATCCCACTTATGAAGCTCGCTGACGTTGTAGAATCTGGTCAGTGCCATTTTGTACCCATCTCTGACAAGGAGGTGGAAGAACGTTGCCAACACATCAAGGCTGGCGAGGTCCTCACCCTGGATAAGGAGCCTCCATATCCCCTTCCTCCTGCCAATCCTGCTCTTGCCAACAGCAATGCTGCATCCAGTGTGCTAGCCTTGGAAGGCTCTCCTTTGCTGGCAGAGTCACCGGCCTCAGGCTTGTTGTCTTCATCTCCCTCAGACATCCCCTTGCCAGCGTTGTCTCCCTCAGGCACCCCCTTTCTTCCCCACCCCCCAGTGGCTCTTCCACATCATCTGGTTCTCCCTCAACTCCTGAGGAGACTCAGCCGATGCCAGAGCACAGCATTCCTCCTGCTGTTGCGGCCATCTTTGCACAAATACGGGGACGATTGCCGCCCTCATCTGATGCCCCACCCCCGCCTCCAGAGTCGATGTTGCTGCCTTCTGTTGACAACCCCATGGAGTGTGTCAGCCAGCCTGACACATTGACTGCGCCTCCGGCAAAGGCCCAGACTGCCTCAGTCCCTGTTGTGCCTATTGCAACAGAGTCCAAGCCACTTGTCCGGGGAGGCAACTGCAAGTGCCTGGCTAAGCCCTCAGCCAATGCCTTGGCCAATAAACATCCCTGGCATAGTGGTCCTTGCAATGCAAAGGCAGGGCAGAAGTCTGCAGAGACCATGTCTTCGGATGTAGATAATTAGGTTTTTTGCATATCTGTATACTACTACTCAAGCTTGAGATACACGTCTTTACCCTCTGCAGTTAACTGATATGCTTTGGGGTCAAAGAGTCATCTGTACAATGCTATTAATGGAGTTTCAAGATGAAACACCCTTGCTGTGCCAAGTGAATAGAATCAGCTACGTGGGTCAAAGCTGTGAGAAGAAACAGAGTATTCTAGAAGACTTCTATTTATAAGTGAAAGAAGTGAGAATGAATTCCATATAATTGGCCCGCTTGAACTTTGAGTCAATGTGTGCCAGAACCCTAATAGGCCATTGGCCACACATAGCATCACCAATCCATTGAAAGTCTATTGTAGGACCTACTATACTAAAGCCTACTATACTAGAAGTACTCATATAGGGCATACACGTCAGGCAATTGAGCATGCTCACAGCGGGAGAGGAAGGCTGGAAAAGGCAGCGGATTTGGGTGGAAATTAGGCTGCGTCTTGGCAAGAGTTCTGGCATGAGTATTGGGCCCGGAGCGGCAATAACTACGGCAAACTACGGTGCAAGCTCAGCAGCAATTGTGTTCTCTGTCACACGCGTGTCTCTTGTGTGGTATTCCTTGTTGGACGCTTATATCATCCCTCCCAGTGTAACAAGACCAGTCTTACTGCAGTTTATTGACATAGAATTACAATATATTGAATGGCAATAGTATAATAATGATGTATTAGAGAAAGAACTGTAAAAAATGGTGAGGGAATGGTCGGGATATTGTTGACATTGTCCATAACGGCGACGACAACGGGAGCGGCAATGTGGCAGACAGGGGGAATGGGCAGCAGGATGGGAAAGTGCGGAAAGGCACTGAGTGTGTCGGAAATGATGTTTGATGGGGCAGGGGATACCCGACGAGGTGATGTGGCTGATGACTCATGCATTACAGTCAGCATCACGTGGCGGAGGGTGTTCATGCTCTAAGTCAAGCTCAGAACTCACCCAGTTTACTGGTCCAGACCAGTGGTCCTCACAAAACAGGCTGAATGGACTATATCAAGTGTCCGAAGAGTGGTTGTGTGGACACCTTAGATACCATCAAAGTGTGGGAACAATACGTGCGCCCGGAAGTAAGATGTTGAGAGTGAAGAACGTGTTCCGCGTCAGGCCTGCAAGGAGCATCATCACCTATTGTTCCCACACATATATAGTCCATCAACTGTCCGATCACCCGTTGTTCGGACAGCTATTATAGGGTGTCCCCCACTGTAAAACACGGTCCAGTGGTCCGGACCAGAGGACTGGGTGAGATATCCCTTTGCCTTAGTCGAAAAATGACTTACCAGAGTATCTCCTATGTCATACGTTTTAGTCACTAGCCACGTCAGCGCGTTCTCGGCACCCCCGGCACCGGTAATATCCGTCCCTCCCTCGGCCCCATTCCCGAACCTTCTCCCGTTCCCATACAGCGGTGCCGCTTCCTCCCGCGGCGTCCAACACCCTCCCGTCGCTGTTCTCGACGATGCCCACGATATCTCGCCCATTCCTCCATCAAATTTCCCCGTTTTTTCTCTTGTTGAGCTTAGATAGGTAGTCTCATATGATATATTGTACTTTTACTAGGTATTTGTGAATACATGTTCCCCTTGTCGCGTCCCAGTAGCCTTGGTTGTTGCATAATCACCCAAAATGGGTATATCACTGCCACTGCACGTGGCCGA